AAAATCGTTCATCCAGCATAGATAGCAAGTATACAGATAATATGCACACATAGCACATAGTTTATATAAAATACTTCATATCTATGTGTAAGATGAAAGTAACTATGCACTCGCTTGTTAAAGTGATGATTCCAAACTCGGACAGCGCTTCGCTTCTTAACAATATAATTTCCTTCGACGAAACCTAGTATTATTACCACTAGATTTTAGTCTAATATTCACCGTGACTAATTATTAGTCTTATTATTATTATATAAGCGTTTAAACAATATTTTACAACCACTATGTACAGACAATGGCCAACAATAAAACACACCGGAGGGCAGGACCATTTTGGCATATAGCACTTCTGAAATCCAACAACCCTATGGGGCCCTTTTAACCAGATTCTCCGTATCGCGAGTAGTTAAAAAGATATTATAACGACACTTATATAACCCATAATAATAGCCCAAATATTTATTATAAGGTCCTAATAACATTACTATATTGAAACATAAGCTATACTAAAGTTAGGTTAGGCGTAGCTCACTTACAGCGGGTTTTTCTCAAAACCGGGCTTCGCTGGAGCAGTGTTTCCGAGTCGAAAGGCTCTTCTTCTCGGAGCCTTCGTGCACTCCGGGGCTTCCGCCTCGTGCTAGGGAGGTTCTTGAGGCTTTTCGGGGGGTTTCGGGGCTAGAGAGAGGTTCTAGAGAGAGGGGGAAGTGATGGGAGGTGTGAGGAATGAAGAGGGCATCACCTCTTATTATAGGGGGCTGGAGGAAGATTCACGTCGTGAATTTCTTGATGTTCACGTCGTGAGTGAGCTTGGGCTCCAAGTCTGAGCCAGGTGCTGACACGTGGCATTGCACATAGGGTGGAAATCAGCCGATTTTCAAAAATTCATAACTTTCGCATACGAGCTCCGTTTTCGACGTTATTTATATCCACGCGTAGGTAAAAATAAGATCTACAACTTTAATTTTGACTCCGTCAGCTAATTCTCGACCGATCTTAAATTTAACAGTACGAGGAGATTATATTGTTAAATGTCCGCGTAAAATTCATAACTTCTACATACGGACTCCGTTTTCGTCTGTATTTTTACCGTTGAGTTCCTATTAATGAGATCTTCAACTCTCATTTAGGTCGCGTAGGCCAAAAACCGCTCGATCTAAAATTCGAGTTTCGGGTCGTGCACTGCTATGCTAAATCTTAGAAAATTCATAACTTCCTCATACGAAGTCAAATTTGGGCGTTCTTTTTGTTGTATGTTCTCGGTTTAACGTATACTATAACTTTTGTTTAGATTTATAAGGCTAAAAAGTCCTCCATCGTAAATTTACTATTTACGTCTCCCGGTGCCGTGCCGGTTTTGCTGAAAAACTTCGACATGTCATAACTTCTTCGTTATAACTCGGATTTCGGCGTTCTTTATATGTACGGAACCCTTGTAACATATACTACCACTTGGAAAAGATTAATCCTTCTAAATAATCTTCCATAAAAAAATCATTTTTGATGCTTATTGTCTCTAAATTGACTAGCCCGGATCTGCGGGCGTTACAATATGCCCCTAATTATTGTATTTGTGGCTCGTAGCACCGGTCTTTGTTTCGTGTGAAATGTGTTGCTTGTCTGCTAGCCTACGAGGTAAGTTTTCTCACTATACTTTGTACTACAGTATGTATCATTATGTGTAGGATGGTGTTATGCTGTAGTGATCTAGGTATCTTTGTGTATAGGATGTTGTTATGTTGTAGTGACCTAGGTATCCATATGTATAGGATGTTGTTATGTTGTAGTGATTTGTTAGGCTGGTAGGATTGTTATGATTACATATGCTTTGTTATTATTGTTATGTGCATATGTCGATATATTATGGGCGGGTTGAGGTGGTCCTGCTCTGTGTTGTAGGCCAAGATACTCGATCGGTCCAGTTGCGACTATATACCCAAGGAGAGCAGTCCAGTTAGGTGTTGTAAGCTTAGTAGAGCGGTCCAGTTGATATTGTAGGCTCAAGAGAGCGGTACGGCTAGATGATGTAGGCTCAGGAGAGCAGTCCAGGCATATTGTAGGCCTTGATGGGTGGGTCCATGCAGACTGAAGGCTCATGAGGGCAAGCATTGTATGTGTAATGTAGTATGGGGTATTTTAGGGAACTCACTAAGCTTCAATTTACAGTTTTCGATTTAAATGTTTTACGCACTTTTGAGCATCGGGCCAAGGCGAAGGCATGACTGTACATCTCATCCAGGAGTTGATATGTTTTTGGGAGATAATATGTTTTGATGCTCTGGTTTTATGATATGGTTGTGAAACAATGTTTTGATGACTTATGTTTTATGGAAAAATGATTTATTTATTTAATGAAAATCCAAAAATTTTACTATGGTTTTTGGGACGTTACAAGTTGGTATCAGAGCCCTAGTTTTAGGGATCTAGATGAACACTCGTGTGATTCTAGACTCAAACTATGAATCTGCAAAAGATTTTTCATAACGTTTTTCTAACAATAAATTTAAGAAGGAAGGATGCGGTGTGTATAGTCAGCCGGAGCTCAAGAGAAAGTTACCCACTAAGATACTCACACTTTTTATATGTATATCAGTGATATGTTAAGTGTTAGAACTGCATGCTAGTTCATAGTTTATGGATCTTCATGAATTGCATGATAGAATTGACTGATATGTGATGCCTGATAGCCTAAGAGATTACTTGTTTATGCTATATGAAACTGACATTATTGATGTAGTCATTAAGTGTATGCATCATGATTGTACATAACTAGGGTTTTATAGCCTTAGAATGCTTGATTTAACCTTACTTCTTGTTACTTGTCTAGTTGTGGGCTTAGGGTAGAATTAATGATTCGACTTTCTATCGAATTTGGCGTTATGTATGATCAGCATACGCAAGGCAACCACAATATTAGTGAAGGTTTCATGAGATAAAAGTGTGGCTGATAGAGTCCTAGAAAGAGCGAGGAGTTAGTAGTCACTCTTAGGAGTGTGTATGCATACCCTAATTGTAGTGGGCCTAGTGGCCCATGAATTTCATGGCGGCTCCTTGAGACAAATACGTGTAGTGTGGAAGGTAGTATGAGCCCATACTACTGGAAGCACAGGACCTGTATATGTGTCAAGGAAGTCACGGGTTCCAAGGAGCGAGTAGTGGAGTGTTATGGTATAATGTGATTTTTCTGCTGTGTTCCCGGTTTTATTTTCAGTATTGTGGTTATGAGAGGTTTCGGTTCAGGTGTTGATGGTCCGGAGAGGGTAGGATTGAATAATGACGAGATCTGAGAGTTGATCATTACTCAGGTGACTTTAGCAATCAAATAGGTGATTCCAGAGGTGTTTGGATCTATCAAGACCACGCTGATTGAGATGTTTGACAAGAGTTATGCTGTCGTTACTAAGGTTGCCACTGCCGCAGCCACTGCAGTCGTTGCTGCTGCGAGACTTCAGGGAGGAGGGTCGATGAAGTACCAGGAATTCAGTAACACGAACCCCCAAAGTTTGATGGGGTTAAGGACCCAATTTTTGCGATGAGGTGGATATCTGATGTTGAGGGGTGTTTCTACATGTGTTCGTGTCCGGAGAACCAGAAGGTGAAGTTTGCACTGAACCTTCTTCGCTTGGGAGAGAAGGACTAGTGGAAGTTTGCGACTCAGACCTTTCTACTGCAAAGCGGACTGTAGTGACTTGGAATCAGTTCACGAAGATGCTCCGCACTAAGTATGTTCCGCTGGTGAGATTGGCTCAGAAGTATATGTCACTTAAAGCAGATGACGTAATCGGTGACAACAATCACCATGATGTTTACATAGAGAGACCTTTTCTGCCCTGAGTATGTTACTTTTGAGCAGTTGCGTATGCCACGATACTTGAGCATACTCAAGACTGAGATTTAAGAGTTTGTGTCGAATTAGCAGTACTGGACCTTAGCAGAGCTGCATTCGTTTGCACAGAAGAGGGATATTGAGCTTGAGTTACAAACGAAAGAGAAGAGACAAAACCCAATTCAGACTCAACCTGCAAGTGGTTCAAAACCCCTGATTCTCGATCTGGAGGCTACGAGGGTCGCACCTGCCTCATGTACGAGAAGGTCCATGTTGGTTCTTGTAGGGTGGGAGCTGGATGCCACAAGTGTGGCAAGGAGGGACATTTTGCGAGGGATTGTCAGTAGCAGAGTACGCGAGTCTGTTACCATTGTGATTGGGTGGGCCATGTGAAGGCCAATTGCCCATTACTTGTTGTTAGGACAATGCATGCACCAACTCCTACGACATTGCGAATTGTGGATGGTCGTCAGGGGAGGGCTAAGTCCCCAAATACCAGAGGTCGCATTTTTCAGTTGACTGTGGAGGAGACCAAGGCGGGGTCTGACGTCATTATTGGTATGTGTTCGTTTATATTTATGTCAAGTCGTTTCTGCATGCTTATGTTTATGTTTCGACTTGGATCCCTTCCTAGTGAATGCATTGCCTTCCTTAGTGTTATTTGACTTAGGTGCGACTCAGTTTTTGGTATCTCTATCCTTCAATAGGAATTTTTGATGTAGCTCTTGGGGAGTTGGAGTGCCTGTTGCGAGTTCTATCACCGCGGCGAACTCACTAAGCTTTGGCTTACAATTTGAGGAATTAAATGTTTTAGGTACTTCTAAGGATCGATGCAAGGTGAAGGCATGACTGTACATCTCATGTAGTGGTTGATATGTTTTTGGGAGATACTATGTTTTTATGCTCTGATTTTACGATATGGTTGTGAAACAATGCTTTGATGGCTTATGTTTTATGGGAAAATGGTTTATTTCCTTTATAAAAATCCAAAAATTTAACTATGGTTTTTGGGACGTTACAAAGAAAGATATTGTATGCTGGGATTGCAAAAAAAAACTAGACATTATATAAATCAATGTTCAAGTAATAGATAAATGCAAGAAAGAGGTAAATGTGGCAATCTATTTTTAATGGCACGCTCATATGGTGTGTAGAGAGTTTGTCCGAATATTGGATTATGGATCCGGGTGCAGTATTCCATGTTCATCCATGTAGAGAAGCAATGATGCATGATTTCAAGTCTTATGGGGAAATGTGAGACTAACATATAATAAGAGTCTCGATACCATAGGTTTTAAAGAACATTATACTCAATGCCTCTTGACTTGAATTGGACATAAATGTCATATACATTACATACATGAAGAGAAAGCTAATATAAGTGGGATGATTAGACTACGAAAGAAATTACGTGGGTTTTTGATATTGCACTATTTATTCATATAATTCATGCAATATCTTAGTATTCTTAGCTACATTTGTTATTAATTAAAGATAAAAGGTGCTTAAAATGTTTAAATTCTATTTTTGTAGTAGCGAAGACATGCTCGGGAGTAAAATGAAGCAAAATGCGAAGCTGGAAGTGGGAAAGTCAAAAGTTGAGGACTTGTCAGAAGTAAGGATGAGCATATGGACTGGGGAACCGGTCCCGGAACCGAAACCGGTACCGGAACCGGAACCCGATGGAACCGGTCGGGCCGGGACCGATACTATAATTTCGTCAGTTTTTGGAACCGGGACCCGGTAAGAACCAGTCGTTGGAACCGGCCCAAAACCGGAAACCGGACCGGATAACTCACTCAAGTTTTGAAAGTTGCATAACTCACTCAATTTAACTTTTTTTGACCTAAATCTTTTTTCTACATGTAGATTATGATTTGTAGTTAAGTTTAGACTATAAAAACGCTTGATTTGGTTAAAAATTGAATGAGTTACAAGCCCCGCAAGGAAGGGTGTCAAATCAGATTTTTTTTATGTTTCAGCAATTAAATGTAATCTGATTTTGTTGTTCAAATGTGCATAACTCACTCAATTGAACTTGTTTTAACTTGAATCTTTTTCCTACATGTAGATTAGGAATTTTTTGTTAAGTTTAGACTATAAAAACGCTTGATTTGGTTAAAAATTGAATGAGTTACAAGCTCCGCAAGGAAGGGTGTCAAAGCAGAATTTTTTTTTTATGTTTCAACAATTAAATGTAATCTGACTTTGTTGTTCAAATGTGCATAACTCACTCAATTTAACTGGTTTTGACCTGAATCTTTTTCCTACATGTAGATTAGGATTTGTAGTTAAGTTTAGACTATAAAAACGTTTGATTTGGTTAAAAATTGAATGAGTTACAAGCCCTGCAAGGAATGGTGTCAAATCAGAATTTTTTTATGTTATAGCAATTAAACGTAATCTGACTTTGTTGTTCAAATGTGCATAACTCACTCAATTTAAGTTTTTTTGACCTGAATCTTTTTCCTACACGTATTTTAGGTTTTGTAGTTAAGTTTAGACTATAAAAACGTTTGATTTGGTTAAAAACTGAATGAGTTTCAAGCCCCGCAAGGAAGCGTCTCAAATCAGACCGGTTCCAAAATCGAAAACCAGGCAAAAACCGGAACCGATAGAATCGTCGGGCCGGTTCGGTTCATGATTTTTGTCGAAGCCGGTTCCCGGGTCGGGTCCGGGTCGGGCCGGTTCTTGTCGGTTCGGTCCGTTTGCTCATGCCTAGTCAGAAGGAGCACGAAGGCAGACTTGGAGGGCACGCGTAAAAAACTTTTCCACGGCGTGGACATCTATTTTCCACAACATGGAAGTTGTTTTGAAAACTATAAATAGATCGTTTTGCCTCTCAACCTAACTTATGTAACAAGTCTCTCTCAACCATTGACGACCAAAGAAGCCTTTTGAAGCCTTTGGAGATCAGAATTCGTTGGAGAAGCTAGTTTTAAAGAGATCGATAGCACAAACACGTTTAATTACTCGGTTTGCCTTGTTTCAATCATGAACTTCAAAGTTAACCTTGTTTTTACTTGTTTTTCTGCTATAGTTATGAGCTAAAAACCTTAGCTTTCGTTTAGGTTAAAGAAGATTTGAACCTATGTGTTGATTTTATGATTTTAGATTTTAATCTACTTGATTATTAGTTATGTTTGCATGTTAAAGATCCTTATGTGTTAAAGTTTCAATCTTTTCTGTTTATTTCTGAGTATTATTAGGATTAGATGACCATTCATGTATATAATTGGTATTATTATCATTAATATCAGTATATAATTCAAGTCTTGCATAATTCGAACTAAACATTGATTTATATGGTTATTTGTTCACTTGATCACTGAGTTAATAATTGTATTAGATCAAAGGACTGGTAATATGATCTTTATTATTTGTCATAATAGGAATCGATAATCAATAAAGTTAAGCCCATTGCACTATCAACATAATCAACCATAGGGAATAAACTAATCGAACCTAAACGGAAGTTTTATTTAATTATTGTCTTCAAAATCATTTTCTGCTTGTCTTTCATTTGAGTTACTTTTTGTTTTATGATAGTTGCATGCTATTAAGTTTTCTGAACTTGCAAAATCAGAACAAACTCCCAATTTGCTTATTTAAATAGTTTAACTTTTAACAGATATTTATAATCATTCACGCTCCCTAAGTGTTCGACAACCCGTATTTACCATCTCGATATTGTCCAACGAATAGGTACACTCGCCTAATTGTGTATAAAATTTTAGTGGATAATAACTGCAATTTATAAATATAAAACTAGTATCTTTTTACGCATCGATTTTAAGGTCACAAGTGGAAGGTGATAAAGGGTAATACGGTAGTTGTTCAAGGCTAGAAATGTAGAGCCTTATAAATTGTTGAGGTTATTGTAGCCGAAGCTAATGAGGTTATCACACAAGTAGGTATGCATAGTTGTGTAGGTATGTATAGTCTCTGACATGAAAGACTTGAGCACATGATAGAGGTTAAATGTAGAAAACTCAAAAGTAAATTGATAATTTAATGTAAAAAAAATATCCTTCTAATATTGTTAGGTGGCATTTGGTTAGTAAAATGTTTATGAAGAAATTGGAATTGCGGTGGTGATGATTGTGGCGGTGGTGGTGAAGGTAGTGGTGGTGGTGTGTGGTGGCGGAAGTGGTGGTGATGGTGACGATGGTGGTGGAGGTAGTGATTGACGATGATAGTGGGTAGTGATGGTTGATGGCGGAGGTGGTGGTGGTTGCGACACAGGTGGTGAGTGGTGGCTGGTGGCGGTGGCGGTGGAGATGGTGGATGGTGACGGAGGTGGCGACATTAGTTGTGATGAAAGAAGCAAACATAATTTGATAATCTTTCGTTTTTTCTTTAGAAATGAAATTAATTTCTTTCTTAGTCAGAGGGAATAAGCTTTCCCCTTGATTTTTTTTCCATTTAGAATTTCAATTACCAAACATAAAAAAATGAATGGAATTAAATTTATTCTCTATGTTCCATATAATTTTTCATAATCAAAGTTGAACCAAAAAAAAAATCTAGTAGGAGATGCTATAAGGGATCTTGATTTAGAATGTACAAACGTCGCCGTTTGGTGTCCTCGTGAGGGTAAATTCTACAAGCACATCTTTTTATCACATTTCGACTCACGCAACCGCTCCCATTTCTGTGAGCCCTAACAAAACAAACCGGAGCAGCGCCTTGCATTCTTCCGATCACCCGAAAAACGTCAATTCGCATCGTTTCAATGTCTCGAATTTTATCGAGATCCACTCGTCAGGTATCCATCTCTTATTTCTATTGTAAAACTGCTGTTAGACTCTGATTCCTAGGTTATACATATCTATCGCCATTTTTGCTTTCGCTTGATCTCCACTCTTCAAGTTGCTGCTTGTGTTCTTTTATGTTTATTTTTAGATAATATATCGTGCTCGTATCTCAGTTTTTGAATTCTTAATCACTGACTTTTCGTACTTAGATTGATTTATTTGTCACGCTAATTAGCATTAAGGTATCAAATTAGATACACAAATATGAATGGATAAACGAAATTGGCTGTTTAAACACACTCAAAAGCCAAATATACTCTTTTTTTAGATGGATGAAGACTACGATTCAACTTTTTATTGCTTATAATATACTTGTTTGTGCGAAAATCAAAGTTGAAACTTGTTTAATTTAGGGCTTTCATGGTTATGCAGATATATAATCAATCCATACTGCAACCACATCATGCAGTTCAGCTCGCTTCTATGCCAAAGAAGCTGTTCCCAAAGGGCTAAAGGGTGATGGTGAGTTGACTAATTTTTCTTCACTGTGCAAAATGATAAATTATGCTTTTTGTAATGATATTAATGTGATTTTATTGCACATGGAATTGAAGAAATGTTGAAGGGGATTTTCTTTGATGTAAAGAAGAAATTTGAGACAGCAATTGGGATTCTCAGAAAAGAGAAAATCACAATTGATCCTGAAGATCCTGCAGCTGTTTCTCAGTATGCTAAGGTCATGAAAACCATAAGAGAAAAGTAAGTTGTATAACTTTATAATCATATTATTATCAAGTTATCAAATTATATTTAAAGTTTGTGATGACATGGCAACAGGGCGGATTTGTTCTCAGAGTCTCAAAGGATTCAATACACAATCAAGACACGAACTGATGGAATCCAAGATGCCCGATCTTATTTGTTGGCATTGAAGGAGATTCGTCTCAAGTATTGACCATTTTATAAATTATAGTCTTAAATATTTTGATATTTAGTAATTATTATTATTATTGTTTGATTGATAATTTATAATTGTAGGAGAGGGCTTACTGATGAAATAGGTGTAGAGGGTATGATGATGGAAGCACTTGAGAAAGTTGAGAAAGAACTTAAGAAGCCACTTATGAGAAATGACAAGAAGGGTATGGCTCTCTTGATGACAGAGTTTGAGAAAGTTAATCAGAAGTAAGCTTTTAATTTTAAATTTACTTCATAATTGATAAATAATTAAATGTGTAAATCTTGAATTACTAATTTGTGTTGTTTGTGTATTGTGTTGTAGGCTTGGGATCCGTAAAGAAGAATTGCCTAAATATGAAGAACAGTTGGAGCTAAAAATTGCAAAAGCACAACTTGAAGAACTGAAGAAAGAAGCTCATGAAGCAATGGATACACAGAAGAAAAGGTATTAGAATATTTTTTGTCTAATGTTGAAGGGTAATTAGGTAATTTGACAAAAACACGCAATCTCATTGTGTGGGATATATTTGCAGGGAGGAGTTTAAGGATGAGGAAATGGTGGATGTGAAGTCTCTGGATATTCGAAACTTCATATGAAGAAGCATATTAGCATCTCTACTGAAATAATTTATGATTTTGAGTGATCTATTTGTGATTTTTGAGGGGTATGATGATGTATTACTTCTGTTTTAATCAAAACCTTCATAGAAGGAATAAAAATATTGTTAAATTGCATATGGAATGCAAGAAAGGTTGGTCGAATGAATAGACCATTTTTTTTTTAATCAAGTGTGATTAATACTTATTTTGGTGTACAATAAGTTTTTCTGAAATGTGACGCAACACCTTTTTCATAGACGAATTACCCACATTTTCGATTACTTTGTGACCATTTGTAAAGCAAATCTACAAATTTGTTTTGAGAAACATTTGTTAATTCTGTGGTAGTGTTGAAAAGTTGTCATTTTGTGATGTTACGCCTTCCATTTTTGTCATTTTAATGATTATTCTTTGAAAATTTGTATTGGAAAAACATTTAAAGATTGCGGGGGGTATTTTGCAAATATTATAGAGAAATTTTTAGAAAAGTCTTTATATTTTGGGTTCCATTAGGTCATTTATTTATTTATTTATTTATATTTAAGAAAATGACAAAATTCATATAATTGTTTACAGAAAGAACAAGAAATTGGCAATCGTTTACACATTTGAGTACTTATACTTTTGGCATACTTTTGGCTCGTTAACACAAAAGCAATGACTTTTTAATAAAAAAAAAAAAAAAAAGACAAAGTGTCACATCTTACATCTTAACATAAGATGATATCCTATGACTAAAATGGATAGAGAATTTTATTGCACTATAAAATATAAATTGTGGTAAATAACACCCTGCATCTGACAAATAGAATATAGTAATACTGCAATAAGATAATATCTTATGTCAAAAAAAAAAATGAGTCGACTAAGACAATATCATCTGTTAAACATAAAGAATATAGTAAGATTATATTAAGATAATACTCTCACTCAAGAAAAAAAAAACGTACATTAAGATTGTAGTAAGATAATACTTTTTGATCGAGATTTTAATCTTATAGTAAGACAAAAAAAATAGAATAAGATTGTAGTGCGATAAAATTCTCTATCAGACAAAAAAAAGAATAAGATTGTAGTGCGATAAAATTCTGTCTTTTTTTGTTCAAAAAAAAGTCATGGCTTTATCGTTAATGGGCGCAAAATATAATGACTTTTCTTATTAAAAACCAAAATTACTTAATAAAATCTCAAATGTGTAAACGATTGTCTGATTCTTGTCATTTTCTATAAACAATTGTCCATATTTTGTCATTTTTTGTTAAAAAAATAAAATAAAACAATAACTTAATCGTTAATGACACAAAATATAAGGACTTTTCTGAATATTTCCCATATTTATATGTAAGAAGTAGTAAGTTTTGTTGTTAATTACAGCATGATCCTTTCATTTCTTTCTTTCTATTACAAATTATAATATCATATTTTTAACAATATATCCAGTTATAGCATTGCCATACAAATACAAAATCTTTCAGTGTTGTAATATGGTAGAATGTCTTAATAAGAAGAAAAATGAAAGTACAATGCTATAATTGGATAACTTTTCAAAGTACGATGCCTTGATAAAAAAGATATCTAAAGTAAAATGTTGACTTTTGACAGTTGACTTTTATGGCAAATAAACTATGAGTCGATTTCAATTTCCAAAATGAAGTTTATATTCAAAGAAAACAGGATTGAAATCTACCAAGTGAATGAAAACCATAAAACTCAAAGGAAATCAGGATGGACATCATCTTGTACAATTTCATCACTAACCTTCATCTCAAAAGCAGCATGATCAATCTCTTGGCATCTGCTTTCAAGCTGCATGTCATCACCATCATCAATAAAATCATCCCATTTCGAAACTGGTCTTTTTAGTTTCTTCATCACTGAGCTTAATCTTTTTGGAATTGTCATCATTGGACTTGAAGATGCACCTATCTCTTTATCATTGTAGTCATGGTTGTTAAGTTGAACTCTTTTGGAATTTTCTCTCTCAGTTGTTCTTGGCTCCATGTCTGCAAAAGAACAACTTAATCCAGTCAAATGACTATTCTCAATCTCGAAACTGATAAAGTTAGACAACGAGAATGAATGGAATCATGTTTGTGTTGAATGTGGAACAAAAATACAAAATTCATTATCAATTTGGAATCTGAAAATCAATGCCTCAGTAGTGAAATGTTTATGGGAGTATAGGACAAAAAGAGTGATTGTTCAACTGTTTGGAAGATTAAAACTAAATAAAAAATGAGGTACCTGTGGAGTTGTAAGGACCTCCATTATTAATTTTCTTTTTGCTGATTCTCTTTCCAAAAACTGGCCTTCTAAGTTCTTCACCGTCTTCACGATCTAATCCAGCAACAGAGTAATTAGCTCTCAGTTTTGGCTTCTTGAACAATGGCTTTGGCAACTCTGTCACAACATTTGGCCCGCACAGGTCTCCTGTATATGCGTTTCATAATCAGATAGATGCAAGTTGAAGAATCGACGATCACAATAAACTTGGTAGAGAATTCATACAAGTGAAACGAAGATCTAAGTTGAAAGAAAAACCACGATTGAATACAAAAATCGATGTTTAGTAACTTGTTTGGAACCGAGGGAGTGCAAAAATATATAGATCTAGGAACAACTAACCTTCATCATCGCTGATTCCACCATCGTTGATGTCAGGTTCGATGTACTCGCTCCAATCAGTGCGTCTTTTGTTCGGCTGATACTCAATTTGTTCTTGAACTAGGGTTTCTTCTAGCAACTCCTGCTGTTGTTCGATGAATTGACGAGACATGTTGAAGCTCTGCACGAATTTCCGAACGTCTTTAGCCATGGATCCCTGGAAAAACACCTTCCGCACCGATTGCTTCTCGTTGCAGATGACGCAGCTCCATTTGTTGCTGCTTTTCTTCCGCTGCTTCACCTGTCAATACCTCATCATATAAACAGCATTCAAAAATTAACGTGAATTTACTTGTTTATAGAAAATGAGAGAAATTGATGCCTGCATAGTGGAGCATTGGAAGCATTGAACGGCGATGAAGACGTTGGACATTTTTGGAGATTTCAGCCGAATTGATGTGTGTTTCTTCGCACTTCAGTTTTGGCGCGAGGATGTTTCTTCGAATTTATACTCCCCTAATCCCTTTGTTACTATAGCAATTAGCAACTAGCAAATATTACCATGGATTAATTTCTCAAACCATCGGATTTGTATAAGTGTATATTGGTTGTAGATTAATTATTTTACTACTTGTTAAATATAAAGAAAAAAAAAACATACTAAAACGTATTAAAATGAAAGATCTTATCTAATTTTAATTATTCTTTTCTTACTAATAAGAAAAATACAAAATTTAGCCTAATCTTAATCCCATAATTTTTTTGCATCTCAAAAACTTAGATGAGAAGCTCAATCACAAACACAAATATAAGTGTAAAGCTCATATTTGAAGGTATTGATTAGTTCATATGTTATGTTTAATGTCATATTTTAAGCAAAATATGAACAACTTTGAAAATAATCATTTTTACTGAGAATTTATCATATTTTAATGAGAATTTATATTTTAACAAAGAACAAGATCTCATAATTTACTGTGAAAATATCATATTTTACAATAAAATCTCATTTTATTGAGAAATTGTCATAAAATAAAAACTTGTCATATTTTACTAAAAGTTACATTTTTACATGAACAGCAATATTTATGCGAAAATAAATCTCATAATTTGATATTGTTAGCCCTTGTGTTCACCATTTAGCCATTTAGGTGGGAACCGTTAATGACAAGAGTTTGTCTACATTAGTTACAAGGTGTGCATAGCTACACAAAATAAAAAATCGTAATACACAATTTCTTGTTAAGTTATAAAATACCCATATTTGAAAATATATAAAAGAGGTGTACCTTGCAACCAATTGAGATGAGAATAAACTCAAACCGATCATCATCATATGTTTTTATATACGTCACTCTCTTATGATTGTGCTTCTCCAAATTGTAATAGTATGTAAATAGACTTTCAAATGAATCTTCTTGGGACCCCCTCATATGTTTAAGCACCTCATATTCTCCTCATCAAGCTTGTTTGTAGGAGAGATTACTTTTATATTTTGAACTGAAATCACAAATGAGATCATGTATTTGGTAGTTGTAAGCTGATAGTTGGTGTTGAAAGATGAGAGTTTGAAACCGTAATTTTTATTTGTGAAAAAAAATATGATAAAAGTAACTATTGGATTATAAAGTTATATAAATACATAAAAATATAAATCTAAAAGCTACTTGATGTTCTTTTTGGATTAAGGATGTGTTGGACGCATAACTTTTGGGAAGATTTAGCTTTTAAGATAAAATTTAGAAAAAAATATATATGCTTGCAACATGAGGTTTTAACTTCTTATTTATTTTTTTATTTTTTTAAAAAGTCTTATAGTCCATAAACTACTTCAACTTTTGGGAGCTTGTTTTTTGAAGGAGAACTTTAAGGAGCTTTTAGTTATCCAGAGATTTAACTTTTTAGTTTTTATATAATTTTATATCTTTAAAAGATAACAACTATCTTTTGCAAGCGGTTATGAACAAATAAAAGCTACGACGTCCAATTTTCATTTTTCAGGTAGCAACTACGAGCTATCAATATCATCTATTAGCTAGTTACGTCAAACTCGTCTTAAGAATTTTTGTTTAAAATAAAATTTAAAAGCGCATACGATTAAACAAAAAAATATTTTTTTTTCGTAAAAGTTAAAAACTAAAAGCTCTAAAAAACCTCTCAGAAAATTTCATGCAACACTGATTTTATGCAGAAAAAACTATTCAAAATGTTTTTGTTTTTAAGTTGTTAATAAATCCAATTTATTGTGTACAAAGATAAAGAATTATGGCTTACATGTTTTGACTTGGTATTACAAATTTACTAGATCATTTATATATTTACACTTTTGTCCTAAGGTTTTAAACTTTGGTATGATTTTTTACATATTTTCTAAAAATATTAACTCTTTTCAAATTTATTTTTATACAACTTTTTAAAACAATTTTTAAGCCTTTTTCAAAAAAAAATTATAGACTTTATTCTTTATAAATTTGTTATACTTTTTACAATATTTTAACGCTTTTTTCACCACTTTTAAACTTGTTTTTTAAAATATTTTTAGAACTTTTTTACTAAGACTTTTTTACAACCTAAGAAAGTTGTTTAAAAAAAACATAAGTAAAAATGTTAAAAAGTTTGAAACATAATTAAAATGGTTTAAAAACGTGTTTTCCTTTTAAAAGTTT